ACCTTGCTGTAGTATCATGTGTAGACGTGCCCTGAGCTACCATGATATCTGACCCTGCCTTTTTTTTTTTGGTAATTGATCTTTACAGTGAACCAGTAAAGATGGTCCTGGCTCTTGACTGATACTTGATCTTGACAATTGGTGAGTTTGAAGTTGGTTTCAGGGCTTGGGGCAGCTGGACTGACAAATCCTACATCCCATTGAGGGAACCAGACAAGGAGTCAGCATGTGGGAATGTGCCTGGAACGTTTCTTTCTGGATGTTGCTCAGACCCAGAGGGCTTGGAATCGAGTGGGATCCCAAGACTGGGGCCCCTGACTGTCTCAGTCAGGGCTATGGCAGCAGCCTGTCCCTGCTGTAGGCCTGTACCTGTACTCTTAGCCACTGCAGGCTTGTGGGAATGCACATGAGGTAGGTAAGGGCAGTCATGGGAAAACTTTATGGAAAATGTAACTAGTTAAAGTTAAAAGTTAGCAACCTTTAAAATTAACTTAAGTTAAAAGTTAAGTATTTCCACTTTCAACTAGTTAAAAGTTAAGTTAAAAAGAGAGTAACTAGTTAAAAGTTAAGTCGATTCGTGAGAAATGCGTGAAACATGGTGAACTGCCTCTTAGCATCATTTTTCATTTTTAAGTGCAGTGAGTGGGTTTCTTTTCTATAAGCCCACAGAAGCACACTAATTTACTCAGAACTCATCCTACTTTACCTGAAAACAATGTTATACTTGTCATACAGTTTTCAGAATAATGATTCACCAATACCTAGGTAATGTTAGATCCTTCTCACCCTCTCCCGGTGAAGTACTTTGTAAAAGTTAATGCATCGTATAGGTATACCAGAAGAACCAGGTGACAAATGAAAGCTGCTTCCACAGAAAACCTCTGTTGTTACAATTTGTACTGCTCAAAAGATAACAAAAGGGTATGAAATACATCTGAATTAGAAATAATGAAGGTGTCTGAAAATCAAAATTAGACTGAAATGAGAAAATCAGTTTCAATGAGAAAAAGAATGTTCAGTCGCAGAGCAGAAACTGTTTAAGCATGTTTACTGGCCTTCAGCAAAAGCTGCTTTTCAAAATTTACATCTGACAATTTTCCTCTTCTGTCCTGCAAAACTACTGAACAATCGCTGTACCTGGGCAGATGAGAGAATGCTTGTTCCCTCTCCTGCCTTGTTGACTTCTGCAAATGCACAGAAAATGCCAGCATCAACCAAGGAACTCTGGGACTTGTAGTTCTTAAGAGACTGTATCTCATAGGAAGGCACACTACTCTCTGTCTCTCAAACAAGAAGTCCTAGAGTTTCAGTAAAGAAATATCATTCCATGTAAGTCCTAGAGAGTGGCTGTGTCAGGAAAAATTCTGGGAAAGCCGGATTTCAGGGTTTTTTTAACTTTTAACTTTATACTTAAAAAAACTTAAAGTTAACCTTTTTCTAAAACTAGTTAAAATTAAAAGTTGATAGCTGAAAAATTTAACTAGTTAAAGTTAAAAGTTAGCCATTTCTTAACTTTTTAACTAGTTAGTTAACTAGTTAATGCCCATGACTGGGTAAAGGGGTTATAACTAGTTAAGAGAGCAACTAGTTAAAAGTTGATTCATGAGAAATGCGTGGAACTTGGTGAATTGCCTCTGTGTGCATGCATGGATATGTGTAATGATACACATGGAAACATGGTGAACTTCTGTGTGTGCGTGCATGGATATGTGTAATGATACAGAATTCAGGTGAGGTCTCCTCTATGTGTTTTAATTATCTTCGGGCCATTTCAAAGCTGTTTCACCATGAAGCATGTACTTTACAAAGCAAGTTTTTTGCATCATGGATACCTACCTCTAGGACAGGGGTGGGCAGAATGTGGCCCATCAGGCCATTGTATCTGGCCTGCGGGCCCCTAAACATTTTAGAAAATTAATATTTATCTGCCTTGGGCTGCCTGTCATGCAGCCCTCGATGGCTTGCCAAAACTCAGTATGTGGCCCTCTGCCCAAAATAATTGCACACCCTGGCTCTAGGAAGTCACTTTCATGTTGGCAGTTTCCCAAGCCCTATGATAACAAAGCAGTAAAAAAGGCTCCGGTTTGCATGACAGGAGGACTATGCGCTAGTGTAAACTCAGTTGCATGGACCACTCTTGCTAACAATGAACTCATAAGTAACTGGCAGGAGGAGGAGAGAGAAGCATCATTGTTAACTTCTCTCCCTGCTGCCTACATTCCTTTTTTCTCCATCTTCCCGTTAGGACAAGGACCACTCCCAGCCTCAGCACAACAGCCCCCTGGTCCATCTGGTTACCTTCCCTGCATCAACAGTGACACTGAGGATATAAACAAATGTCACCAAATGAAGCAGATCAGCTGTGGCAGGATGTCTGACGTGCTCCCCTGCTTGCACAGATGCTTTTCCAAGGTTCGCCAGTGTATGTCTGCTTAAGAGCGGGAAGCCAGAGTTTCCTACCTGCACAGACATGCCACAGGCCATTTCTGTGGTGCATCTCTGTAAGCAGGAACCCTCAGCTTCTCTGCTTACAAAGATGTGCCCTGGAGATTTCCCAGGGTGTGTTTCTGGAGCTGCCTGTGCTCTCCAGCTGTCCTGGCAGGCACTCCCAGGCCTTAATGGGCCTGATCCTGAGCAGGAATTCTCAAGGCATGCAGAATTAGGCCCCTCAAATCCCAGGAGTGCCTGCCAGGGCAGTTAAAGAGCACAGACAGCTCCAGACTGCCCGTAGGTAGCAGACATTCGGCACAATCAAGTGGCAGAAACTACTATATTACCACCTGTGTCACAGTCACAAATTTGGGGCAGTTGTGGTGTGACAAGGGGTAGAATGGATGCCTATTTGCTTGGCCTTTGTGCACCCATCATTTTTTTATGTTTATTTCCACCCTGAGGAGCGGAAGGGTGAAGTAGGGGGACATTGGTTATTACAATGCTAGGAGGCACTTAGAAAGCACCTGAGTGTCACAGGAGCATAAGTCCTATTAAAAATCACTGAGATTTGTGCTCCTTATTCACTTAGGTGCCTTTGGCCCTCAGGATGGGCTGCTTCAGCAGAAAGCTAAATCTGCATATTGAAGCTGTACGCCCACAGGCAATGGCTTCTCTTCCATGCAAAAAGCCTCCACAGCTCTGCCAAGTTGTGCTTCTTCCCAGCTATCCTCTCTGGGAGGATGTGATTTTTTTTTCCTTTTTTTTTTTATGATTGTCATAAGTGCATTTTCTACTCCACCCCCTTCAGCTGGTGGCATTCCCAGATTTCTTTCTTCCATTTTTCATTTTAGAAAACATGCTTTTTCTCCAACCCCTCTCCCGCTCTTGGCAACATAAGTCTCCTACTGAAACATCTCATTCAAATTGTACATTGCTGACCTGCATGTAAACTAGCGATTGTTTGACAGTTTGCTTGAGAGTGTTATTTTTTCAAAGCAGCCTGTATATACAGATTCTGCATTTTAATCCTCTTGATTATCTAAGACAATGTCTAACACAAACAGTCTTTATTTGGAAAAGCTGTTGGTGCGTTAAACATACACTGTTTCATTGCAGGGAATCAAGGTACTCATGGATTTTCCCTTCTGCCCAGACAAACATAGTTTATAGCCAGGTGTAGCAGGTCTAGGATGCTCTAAAATGGCTTGCCACCCCCTGGCAGTAAGTCCTAACTTGCTGACCCTCCCCACATCCCAAAGTGCTTCATTGCCTCTCACCTACCATGACTTGACAGTACTTAAAATTAGGGGGCAGGTCTGCAGTTCTGTAGCAGAGGGGCAAGCTTATTCATCAGCAGTTGGCCCTTGTGACCAGTACGCTCAAAGGAGCCCTCTTCTATGCCCCTGTTCAGTGCCCCAGGTCCCTCAGCCTCACTAACCCAAAACTACCCACTCCAGAAGGCTCTTTGCACTCCCTCCCGGAGTGCCACCAGTGGCTTCTGCATCCCGAGGTTTCTTTCACTTAACAGCAAAACAAAACCACAGTCAAACTGAATTTCCTTCAGAGTGCCTTCTTCTCTGGCCCTCCCCAGTTCTGCTGAGGCTTGTTGCCCACTCTGGCCCTCCTGGGCCTACTCACAGGCCATGTCTGCACGAGCTGCTGACTGCACGGTAGCTCGTTACTACTGCACAGTAGTGTCACGTGGCACCAAGTGTGATGCGAGGCTACTGCACAGTAGGGCTGTGCGAAATTTCGCCACCCATTTTGTTTCAACGCTGTTTTGAGCCGTTTCGACCTCGAAACAGCAAAGTCGAAATGAAACAGAGAGGATCGAAACAGGGTCAAAACGAACCAGGGCAGGTTGAAACATTTCGAAAAGTTCGAAACGTTTCGAATTTCAACTGAAGCTGGGCTTACCTTCAATGGCTTCCCTGCAAGGAAACAGAAAGTAAAGTAAGGGGAGGGAGGGGGAGAAGGGGGGAAGGGAGGTTGGGGGGGTAGAAAAGGATTTCCCTCTTTATTGACATATGTAGCTGGCCAGTGCCTGTCACCCTTCTCTGAGGTCCCTTCCAACCCCAGTGCTCTGGGGGAGGGACAGAAAAACTTCATAAAAGGCAGCATTTTTTGAACTGCCCTGTTTTCTGCTTTGGGGTCACTTAGTGAGCTGTCGGTTCTAGCAGCTCTCTGTCAGACCACTATGGCTAGGGGCACTGATTTTCTAAAGGATTCCCTGCTTGCTACCCTAGCAGGAGGGATTTCAGAATACCTTCTTCTTGTAGCTGCTTTTATTTTATTATTATATTCATTGATTTATTCTTGTGAATCTAATACTTTTATTGGATAGGGTTACAATAGAATTTGCTCTATATAGGAATTTACTATATATAGTTGTTTTTATACGGTCATTCTTTCCAACATACCAACACTTTTGAGTTTTTCTACACACACAGACATATTTCTATCGGGTTCATAAATCTCATCACTGCAAGGCAACACCTGTCCTGGCCACTGACCGGCTGTGAAAAGTGGTTGGTAATTTGTTCCCTCTCAGGATCAGGCCTAAGAGACTGGAGGCATAGTGTTTTTTTGGTGAGGTATTGTTGTGTTTGATAGATTCTGGTGTGCAGTTTGTGGAGGTACTGGAGATAGTTGGCAGGTTTTGTGTTTTGAGCTGTAGGAAGTTGGCTTCAGTTCTGGTAATGAGGTTAGGTGCTTCTTTGAAATTATAAACCACTTATCAGAGCTGGGCCTATGAACTGCACTTCATCAGCCTCCTAGGTAGTAGGTACAGAAACTCATGGACTCCATATAGATTAGACAGTGGAATTCTGACACACTGCGACCTGCCGGACGTCTGACACCCCAGGCACCTCTGCACTTTTACCTTTGCTGCTACATCCTCTTTTGCCCCCTACCCCCACCCCAGCCTGTCCCTCACCCCCTGACACCTGCACTTCCATTTTCACTGACTGGCTTTCTTGCCTGCATTGTGTGCCAGGCCAGCCTCTGGCTTCTTTACTATTCCTTCCATCCAGAACCAGGAGACATACCAACTGGAAGTACTTCCTCAGCCTGATAAAGGGTTTTTCAACCTGAAGGCTTCCTAAGAGATATTTCTCTAACTATTCTGTTTTTTTCATAATAAACATACAAACATAAAAATACAAGATAAGCTATATCCAACATAACACCTTTACTTCTTGCTGCCAATTCCTTTATAACCAGAAAGGTTCTCTGACAGTTCCGTTTAGCTACCTTAGATGCTGCTGGTGCTATTGCTGTTGAGCTAGCTATGTTATTTTCACCTGCTATTGTTTCCAGTGGTGGACTGAGATGAGGCTGTAGGGGAGGAGGGGCCCTCACGGGGGGCATTGCCATGTTGTGCAGAGGCCCCAGCACCAGGAAGGGCATACCTGAACACAGACACAGTGTCACAAGCACCCATGTCTCGAGTTTTGCCTGTCAACAGCCAGAGGTGCAGGGCCCCAGAACCCCAAGCCCCGCAGCACCTATGTTGTTGAGAGCTGGCAGGCTTCGTGGCTGCAGCAGGGCCTGGCAGCCAGCCTGTAGTGGTTCCCCCCTGCCCCAAGCCAGACATAGTGTCACAATCACCATGTCATGAGTTTTGCCTGTCGACAGCCAGAGGTGCAGGGCCCCAGAACCCCGAGCTCCACAGCACCTATGTCATTGAGAGCTGGCAGGCTTTGTGGCTGCAGCAGGGGCTAACAAGCCTGCAGTTTTGACCCCAATGTGGCTTCACGCAGACAAGTGACAGGAGTTTGGCTATCAAGATTTTGGGGTGCAATTTCTCCGAACGCCCTGCACCTATCTTGTTGAAACTTGTCAGGCTTCATTGTCTCAGCAGGGGCTAGCAAGCCTGCAGTTTTGACCCCGCTGTGGCTTCACACGTACAAGTGACATGAGTTTTTCTTTCAGGATTTTGGGGTGCAGTTTCTCTGAACTCCCTGCACCAATCTTCTTGAAACGTGGCATGCATCATGCCCTCAGAAGAGGCTACCATTTCTGCAAGGTTTGTCCAATTCTGGCCAGCAATGACAAAGTTATAGCCTGTTTTGACCTTCCCCATTATATCCTATGGGCGAAACGTTGAAACAGGGTCAAAACGGCAAAACATTTTGACAAAATGAACTGGAACAGCCATTTCAACTCGAAACAAGAGTCAAAACGAAAAGCTGTTCTGTTGAAATGTCAAAACGCTGCTTGAAACGAAATGCTTCCATTTCACTCAGTAGTAATGAGCTACTGCGCAGTCAACATCACCTAAAAGCTGTTTGGTGATGCTACTGTGTAGTAACTCTGGTTACGGTGCAGTCATTTGGTACTGTGCAGTAACAACTGTACAGTCAGTGTCTCGTGTAGATACAACCACGATTATTCATCTCTGGTACTGCTTCTGCAGCTTTGCAACAGATCGCTTCTTCCCCTATCAGGGGCAGGGTTGGACTTCTTGCTCTGCCCTGGAGCTGGGCTTATATCTTCCCAGGGCCTTCCCCTTCTGACCTCCAAGAAGTACTCCTTTAAGGCACAGTCCCCATTCCTTATTTGTACATACACTCTCAAGGAACATGATAGGGTCCCCTGTTACATCGGGTCATGGCTCCAAGCTTCCATTGAAGAGTTTGGTTAAGGTTGATGCATATATTACTACATGTCCCCCATTACAGCAAGTTTTTTTTTAAATACTCTTTGATTCTTCACAGCCCCAAAGAGGCCATTTCCCTAGTTCTCTTCAGAAGAAAGGGTCTAACACACAAGCTCATTTCACCTATGGTGCATCAAGCTTAGAAGCTTCCTTTCTATGCACATGAGCCTGTAATTTCCAACTAATCAGCCATTTTCCTGTAAAGTATAAAATAGTCTTTGTCCCTGGCAGCAGGAGAGATCACATCCTCAAGAGATCACCTCCTCCCTGATGGAACCTAGCTGCTCATAGAATGGATGTGCTGAAGACTGCAAGGTGCTCCATAAGAATAGGTAAGTAAAGCAATCAGCAGGGATACTGAAGAGTTCTTGCGGGCTCTAAACATACAAGAGCAGGTCCTTAGACCAAATGTCTCTAGATCACTTGAAGGCCATGAACAGGGCAAAGACTCTTTCTAGATTCCCAATCATCATATGAGTTCATTAGAAATCTCTTTGGTAGCAAGTGCAAATTCTGATCTCCCTGATGAGGGATGGCATGCTATTCTCCTGGAGAAGCACCATTGTTGCTCCCTGTCTGCACTCCTATCCACAGATCTGACTTAAATTTATCTGCACGCATAACCTAGAGTAGTTGGCTGGTGCCATGTAAAGATCAGGAAGCTGGCCATGTGAGTAAGAACACCGAGTCACTGTGCAGTCAGCAGTGAAAGAACTGGCATAGGAAATCACAATCCAGAAGCAAGTATTTTTTAATAAATCCAGAAATAGGCAATTATGATAGAGAAATAGCAAACACAGCACTCCAGTTAAGGAAGAATGTATGCACGTGTGTGTGTGTGTGCGTGTGCGCATGTGTATGTGTGGCAGGGAGGAAATATGGGATGTGGGTAACTTCAGGTCCAGTAGCGTGGCAACGAAGTTTGGCGCCCAGCGCAAAACTCGCAGTGGTAACCTGCCCTCACGCTGCACGCAGAGCCGGGGGGGGGGATAATACACATGCCCCACCATGCTTGCCTGGGGGGGAGGGGGGTGTACACTCCCAGGCAAGTGGGAGAAGGGGTGGAGAACACACATGCCCTGCCATGCTTGCCTGGGAGTGTACACAGTGATGGGAGCTGCCTTCCCCCATCCCTGCGATCCCCCCATATGAGGCACTCATGGCTTTGTCCCATGTCCCACCCCAGCTGGGCAGTGCCTGTTGGCACCCCTTTGCTTTGGCACCCAGGACGGTCGCCCCATTGCCACCCACTCCCCACCCCCCCACTTGCTACAGCACTGTTCAGGTCTGAGATTTAAAAATAAAATTTGAAGGAAAGATTTAAAGGCAGGTAGATAAAAAGAAAACTGAATGACATGCAACATGGACCTCTCCAACCTCTCTTATACAAGAAAAATGGGATAGATCTAATTAATCTGGACTGCAATAAAGCATATAGTATGATGCCACCCAAGAAATTATCCATCAACCTAGAGAAGATGGGAAGTGGCACAAGAACTGTTAGATAAGTAAAGAACTGACTAAAGGGTAGGCTGTTATAAGTTGTGCTCAAAGGGAAGCTGCTGTGGAGGAGGGAGCTTGCTAGTGGAGGAGGGAGCTTGCTAGTGGAGTTTCTCTAGGATCAGTCTTTTGATTGATCTTGTTTAATGTCTTCATTAATGACCTGCGTGGAACATGTGGGAGTATGCCAATCAAATTTACTGATGACAACAAGTTGTGAGGCATTACCAATGAGGAGGTATATCATACAGAATGCCCTTGAGGACTGGAATAAGAGAAACTGGATGAAATGTAAAATAGTAGAAAAAGCAAAGCCATGTATTTAGGAAGTAATCACAAGTAGTTATCATTATAAGAACTTACAATGCTATAAGCAGAGTTCATCACCTAGAAATAAGAGGAGAAAGATCTAAAAATATCAGCCAATCATGGGATATTAAGCAACAACACGCGGCCATGAAGCAGAACAAGGGAAATGTGATCCTAAAATGTACCAGATGAGGTATTCCCAGGAGAATGCCTGATAATAGCTCATCTGGAATACAGTGCACTTTTATGGCCACCCATGTTCAAGAAAAATTAAATCAAATTGGAACAACTACAGAGAAGGGATACTAGGTCAATCGGGAATGTAGAGGCTGTCCTGTAAGAGTTGAATTGTTGATCCAAAGAACTTGATTTGTTAGTTTAGTGGAACAAAGGTTGAAAGGAGGCTTGATTACTCTTTATAAATACATTTGAGGTGAACTCCATGTAGGAAGAAGAGCTATTTGTATATTCATTTCTTAAGCTAAAGAACAAAGCTGGTGAGACAGCTAATGGGTCTAAACTTGCAGTGGTGCATATTAGGAGAAGATTTCTAATCATCAGAGGACTGAAGTCCTGGAGCAGCCCTCATGCAGGAGCAGTGCTTTCAAGACAGAGTGGTTTTAAGTGGTTTCAAGTGGTTGAAACCTAAGTGGCTTCTGACTTCACAGTTAGGGCGGCTAGGATCTGGAACCAGCTTCCAAGGGAAGTGGTGCTGGCTCCTACCCTGGGGGTCTTTAAGAGGAGGCTTGATGCTTACCTAGCTGGGATCATTTGAGCCCAGTTTTTTTTCTCCTGCCCTGGCAGGGGGTGGGACTTGAAGATCTATAAGGTCACTTCCGACCCTACTTCTATGATTCTATGGTTTCAAGACAGAGCCTGACAAAGTCATGAAAGGAATTATGATGACAAGGGTGTAACAACACAGCTGGGCACCTAGGGTAGCTGCAACACACAGGAGCAACAACGACTTCTGGAAGCTCTTGGACCACCAGCACGACCATGCAGCTGTGGTGGCAATGTTTCTTTATCCTCTCCACTAGGTCTGTGCCTGTGGTCACTCCACCCTAGTTACAATACTGACCCAGAAGGTCCCTTCTGTGGAACAAAGGTCCCCACAGTCACAAGTGTACAGTCTGCAACTGGAGCCCAAGGGAAGCCAACTGAACTAATCCTTGTTCCATGGTCCGTCTGCCCAGATGTAGAGATGTTTGTAAATTTGCATCCTTGTGTATAACTCTACAGATAACTGTCCTGTAGCACTTCCACCATCACAGAATGGAAGAAACGACAGTGTTTGCATAGAACAAAGACAACATTCTGTTCTACCTGCATAAACAATTAATGCTTTAAAAGTGGTGATAACCAAAATAGTGGGCTGATTTTCTTCAAGCCTCTTTTAAGTGAGATTCAGTGAGATTTTAAAAATAATGCCAAGATTGAAGCTTCTAGTTCTTCACAAAAACACAATATTTTCAATTGTAAGAAAAGTGCACCTTTTCTGGAAGCTAAAACTCAAATGGTACAGCCAATTTTGGGTTCAAGCTCTCAAGAAAACAAATAAGCAAAGAGATAAATAAAGGCTTGCTTCTATTCAGCCTTCAAGAAAGAATGATACAGTCAAAAGAAATAATTAGAAAATATTATAGAGTAAAGAAGAAGTGTGTGCATGAGATAGGAAGAAGCTGTAGCTGAATTTAGCTTTAATTACACTTAGGGTGCATCTACAGGTCGCCCTACGGCAATGTAGCAATGCACTATGTTGCCCTATGGTGTGCTATGGTGACGTAGCAATCATGTGATTGGCAGCTACATCACCGTAGCAGCACACTCCCCTGGTATAGCGCGGTGATGTAGTGGCGAAATCTAACCATGTGCCTCACGCACGGCACAGTAACCACCCATACTGTGCCATGCTTCAGTACTTCCAAAAGTAAATACTAAAGCACGGCACCAAAGCAACATCGCCATACGGTAACGTGTACATGGGCCCTTAATTTACTAAACTGCTACATCTATTATAAGAGTAGTAGATTTATATGTATACCCAGACAAAAGAACAGCTTCAGATAGAGTTAAAATTGAGAATGCATATCAATACACCAAAGCTAAAACAAATCACAAGAATGAGGTAATTTACACTAAAAACAAATGTTAAAACTGCTGCTAGGTCTGCTGCCAAGTGCGCTGGGGAGCCCCCTGCCCCACTTCTGTGGGATACTCCATGCGCCCCAGCATCACAGCATTCACGAGCGCCTGCTACCTAGAGATATGTAGAAAAAACACTGAAAGCTGTCTCTATGTCCAAATCTCCGAATATTTCTGAATCTCTCCGAATCAATTCAGAGACATCAAAGGGTCCTCTGATTCGATTTGGATTTGGAGATTCATCCACCAAATTGGGCTGAATCTTCACCGAATTGAATCAGGGACTGAAGCTTCGCACAGCCCTATAACATAGGCATTGAGTACTTTTCCTCATCATCTGTCACTAGATTGCCTCCCCCATTCAGTAAAGACCCACATTTTCCCTGACCTTCTTGTTGCTGACATACCCGTAGAAACCATTTTTGTTACCCTTCATGTCCCTTGATACCTGCAACTCCAATTGCACTTTGGCCTTCCTGATTTCATCCCTACATGCCTGAGCAATATTCTTATACTACTCCCTAGTTATCTGTCCAAGCTTCTACTTCTTGTAAGCTTCCTTTTTGTGTTTCAGCTCAAAGAGTTCTCTACTAAGCCAAAACAATTATGATTTTTAGACTCAGATTTTTTTATAACTTGGTTATACTCCATGATCTCCCCAGCAGCAAAATTAGTGTGATTTTCCACCAGTGAGATAAATGAGCAAAAATCAAAATGATATGGTAGCTGATCAAGATTCATGGGTTGCGTGAGATGACATCCTTATGAGAACAATCATGAGTTTGAGAAGAATGCGTAAAACTTCTGATAAGTGTCCGGGGACATGATTTTTAAGGAGCATATGATGAAATACTAAACAAATACTAATAGATACTAAACAACATGGAATGCCATTGTCATGTCTGAGAAATCCCATGACTTTCTCTTCAGGCCAGCAGCTGGGAACAATGAGAAATGTAGCCAAGACTTCTGTGAGGTGGGGCCTCTTTCAGTACATGTACACTGGACTTCTGCTCCAGACTGAAGAGGCTTGCAGAACATCTCTCTCATGTGCTCCCTCGGCCTGTGCGAAGCGGCTAGTATTTGCTTCAGATGATTCGGGGGACAGTGATTTGATTTGGTGATTCAAATCACTGTCCCGAATCGATTCGGCAGAATCTGATTCAGAGATTCAGCCGCTGCCAAATTGGCCAAATCGGACAGGCCCCACCCGCCCACTCTTCCAGCTCCATCAGTGGCTGCCCCACCCAGCCCCAGCTCCCGGCTCTTTAAAAAAAAAAAAAGCCCCAGGATTACCAGCTCCTGCCATGCAGGGGGCGGGGGGGAAATCCCTGCTGCCCCCACAGCCCTGTGCTGTGGGGCGGGGGCTCTGCCATGAGCCCCCAAAAGCCCCAAGGCCACTGCAGCAGCTGGTGAATGTGGGGCTTTTTTTTAAAGAACTGGGAGCTGGGGCTGGGTGGGGCAGTGCAGCCCTGGCGGGGGGAAGGTTGGGAGCGCGAGCAGGGGTCATGGGGTGCTCAGGGGGGCTGGGGGAGCAGGCAGGGGATGGGGCCTGGTGGGAGTCCCCCCATGGTCCTCACCTCATTCTCTAGCCTCCCCCTCCCCTGTCCCCTACTTACCAGCACGGAGTCTGTGTCCAGCTCCTTGAGGCAGCGAGTGGGGATTGCCTGAATCTCCAAAGCTCTCCGAACATTTTCTGAATCGATTCAGAGAGCTTTGAATTGTTTCGGACCTTTTTACTGATCTCCTGATTCAATTCAGATTCAGAGATTTGGCGGCTGAACTGGGCTGAATCTCCTCTGAATCGAATCAGCACCCAAAGCTTCATACAGCCCTTCTGATATTTATCCAAAGTTGAGATTTCAAACCTATATCTTGGCCTCAAGAGTGCATTTATGAGGGTGGTGTTGTCTGACCCTCTACTAAGGAAATGATACAGGGTGGATAGTGGTGAGGCCAGCTTGCTATGCTAAGTCAGTCTTGGTTTCTTGCAGTGAAAAACTATCCAAACTGAAGAATAAGCTGCCCGATGTTTCTCGTGAAAACTTAATCTCAAATTCTTTGGAATAATTTATCATAAAATGTTATGGGAAACAGAGAAATGTCTGTTTGCCAGAAAAAAAGATATCTAGAAATGATGATGTCCGTGATACAGTGCATCTGAACTGTCCTAAACTCCCTCTACTACTCTCCCCTTTCTTAGTGACATAATTAAGGAAAGATTCTCCAGCTCTATGTTGTTCTGGACTACATATCGCAAGACCCAGACACTAATTCTAACATGCCATTTACAAAGAATAGGAAAATTAACATCATTTCATTCAAGCATTTACAACAACAGCTAATGGGATGAGGAATTGCATCCAACTGGAAGGATAAGCAGGTGGAACTACTGCTTCTTTGTTATTTCACTGGAAGAAATTGTTCCATTACTTACCAATTCCTGATGGAACTGCAAAGTAATTCCCTTTGGAAGCCCTCTGTAAGGGCATGTGTTTCTAAATCACATGAATGTTATCTAAGTGGTGCTCCCACTACAGCTGGAACTTACAAGAATTTGCTGAGCTTGGATCTGGTTACTGCCACTCTTTCTGCACACTCAGAGGTCTCCCTCTAAGACTGACTGTGTCATAGATATATGGCTTAATCTACATGTTACATGTCATACATAGACAGCCCCCAGTGCCCCTCATGCTGTACACAGGTCGGATGGGATAGCAAAGAGCGAGTGTTAGCTTTACGTGACTCAGGGATTTGCCCATCCTGGCGATTGCTTGGGAGACTCATCATACCAGATTTCTGGTAACTTCACATCTCTAGACCAGTCCCAAAGGCTATTTTCTGAGTTAAGGCACACCCCTGTCAAAGAAACAAAACCTGTGCAGTCTGTATTTGTCTGGGCTTGCAAATATTCAACTACAGCTGATCACCCTTAGCTACCAGACTTAAGAGAATTGGAGCAAGCCACCAGGACTCCCTCTTGGAAATATGCTATGTTGCAACAACCACAATTCAGAGCATGTATAATGTGGGTAAAGTTTATTTCTCTGCCCATGCACAGCTTCATTCAGAACATGGTATAGACATACCCTAAGTAACAGAGTGGACCTAGAAATCTGGCACTGAATACTGCTGTTGTTTCTACCAAGTACTGGTCTATGCTGTTTGCATGTTGATGTAGCATGTCCTGGAACTTGTGAATAGCAACACTGTGCCTTCGTGTGATGCTTTAGCTTCCTGGATGTTGAAACTTGTATGAGAACTCTGAGGATCATAGAACCACTTTGCTTACGTATTTGATGAGGCAACATGGGTTAACCTAAGATTCACACCTGGAGGAACAGATGAAAAAGGAGCAAGAGTACTGGAGGCATGTACTTGAATGTGTTATTGCAGTTGTGTGCACATTAGCAGAACGTGGATCAGCTTTTAGGTGAGGGGGAGGCAATGAAAAGTTTGGCTCTCCACATAACGGGAACTTTCTTGGCTTGATAGAACTCATTGCTAAGTTTGATCCGTTTCTTGCTAACCATATAAAACTTTATGGAAGCAGGGGATCTGGTAAGCCTTCATACTTGTCTAAAACAATATGTGATGAACTCATCCCGTTTATGGGGAAAAAAGTAAGAGGATATATTTTGGATAACTTGAGAAAAGCAGGATACTTGAGAAAAGCAGGATACTTCAATTTGTCTGTTGACTCTACACCAGATCTTTTACATGTTGATCAGCTAACTGTTATTATAAGATATGTGTCACCCCATGATGGCTTTCCCATTGAAATCTTTCTAAGTTTCCTTCAATTAGAAAATCATAGTGGTGAAAATATGGCCAACATGGTGCTGGATTATCTAGGCAATGATTGCAAAGTTGACTTCAGTAAGTGCAGAGGACACTCATATGATAACGCAGCCAACGTGGCAGGAAGCTATAATGGCACGCAGCAAAAACTTCTAGAGAAAAATAAGTATGCTATATATATTCCATGTGCTGGACATTCACTGAATCTTGTTGGGTAAGCTACAGTTGATTGCTGCTTAGATGCCGTAATTTTTTTTTGCAAAAAAAGATCTGCCTGATATAGATTAGAAGTGTGTGAATAAAAGTAAAAGAATGAGAAAAAAATCAAGTCAATGATGGTGATGCACCTCATGCTGATAAAGAGCTTTCTCCAAGAGACACGTTTTGAAGGAAATCCTTTATTCCTGTGATGGATGCACTTGAAACCAACTTGAAGAAAAGAGCAGTCATATATGAAAATTTTTAAAAAAAAATTCATTTTCGGTTGATTTAGATGCCTCGGAAAACCAGCTGTGTAAAGCTGTAAAGCTTCTGATGAAAGACTATCCTGTCAATGTTGATGCTAACCTCATTGGAGAAATAAAGCACTTTCATGTTTATATCAAGCAAAATTATTCAGATAAAGGACATTTATGGCACCAGGACCTGTATCAAGTCATCATCCAAGAAATGATTCAGTTGGCTTTCCCTAATGTAGAAGCAATATTGCGGCTCTTTTTGAGTCTAACGGTAACAAACTGCTCAGGAGAAAGATAATTTTCGCGGCTGAAAAATATCAAGAATGAACTGTGAACAGCAATGCTACAAGAAAAGCTGTCTGCACTAAGCATTATGCGGACAGAAAGTGATAAACTTTGTAGCTTATCATTTGAGGACATCATCAATGACTTTTCTGTCCAAAAATCACGAAAGAAAATGTTTTAAATTTTATGTGATGTGCAAACAGACATAGTACAGGTTGTATTGCTGTTTCCATTTAGTAAGTGCTGATCTGTGTAATTGCTCTTGTGTTGCTGTAGATTAAAGGTTTTCATATATGCTAATTAAGAAATCATAAAGTATTTCAGCTTGAAAGTATTTCATAATGCAAATAGGCTTATTCCAAGATATATGTTTTTGTTAGAGTATTAGTTTTTCATTGCACTTTCCCCAACATATATGCAAATATAAAGCTTTAATATTTCGATTTTCATTGTCCTTTTTGTTAGAACAGTACACTTTTTTCATAATGCTATGGGGCCTCTTAAGCTTGATATAGCTTAGGGCCCCAGCATGTCATAATCCGGCTCTGCCTAGCACACAGCTCATAAGACATCATAAAAGAGGTCAGTCTTGGGAGAAGCACATAAAAGAAGAGAGAATGATTAACAAGCGACCAAAGCAGCACTTCTAAAGGGAGCAAACCAGCAGTGTGGGGAGATGGGCTACCAGGTAGGCTGAATTTCAGGACAGAAAATCCTTTCTGCAAACATGGAAACTGTGGAAGCCAGAGCTGATTCCATCAACAGAACCATCTATGGAGAATAAATATACAAAGAAAGCTTTACCTTTGTTTTCTCATCTCCTTGCAGAGGGAGGAGGGAGAGCACAAGGAACAAATGAGAAACTGGGCATGTCTACACATGCATACATGCACTGTAATTACTGCACATTAAGTTTAGTACCTGTAACAACAGGTACTAACTTAATGCATAGTAACTGGCACTACTGCACAGTAGTGCCAGCACATGCCTTTTAAGTGATGCTAATGCACAGTAGACTATTCCTACTGCTCATTAGCATGGCTTTTGCTGTGACGTGCTAATGCACAGTAAAATTATTCTACTGTGCATTTAGCATCTTGTGTAGACATGCCCACTGTTCCCAGGAATAATGCCTAAAGCACTTGAACAACTGATGTCCAAGTGAGGTGACCCCTACAAAAGCTTGTGCTTCTCTGATCCAGTTAGACCATATGGCACCATCCTACCCTCCTGGCGCCAGACAGAATGGGATTGTAGAGGATGTGGTCCATTCCTCATCCCAGCCAGAATCAGGGAGTTGAAGAAGGTATGACTACTTACATTGTAGAGATGGGAACTCTGGCATCATCTGCATCTAACTTGGGAAACATTTATAGGATTCTCTAATTAGATAATTGGAGATATATGACTCCAGTTTGCACAAGAGACTGTTGAAAGAAACAGGTCTAATCCTAGAGGAATTCCTCCAACTCCAGGGGAGTTGAAGGAAAGCTCAAAGCGATGACAAGCACCAGTACTGAACAGAGTCAAGTTAAGGAATTGAGAAATCAGGACAGATGTAAGGACTGGTCCAGTGTGAAAAGCCCCATAAAAGGGGGAAAGGAGAAAAGACCAGCCAATGGGGCAATGATACAGTGGGTATGATGGGAAAACTATCTTATATCTCAGTGTTGCAGCTACCATAGGAGAAAAAAAGTATCAGGACAAGTGGTCATTAGGGATGTAGAGATGTTCAATGAAGAGGAATCTATGTGCAGCACATGCTCATTGAGAGCTTCTGTATCTGCTAACGTGCCTGTAGAAGACTCTCTACCATTCTGCTCTCATGTTTGCAACTATGTTATTGGATCAGCAAGCAATTTGGTTGTAGATAGATCATTAAGCCAGTGCCAGTAGAACCCCAAAACACTGATAAACTGCATTCTCAAACTGGGGAAATGTGACCAGGTGCTGCTGATATACAATCAAACTATTCTGAGGCCAGTGAGCAAATGAAGCTCTGTTGATAAGAAACTTACAAATCAAGACAGTTTAACTTCAGTAAACTCCAAGTGATGGGGCACAGGAGTACCATCCCTTTCAGGAAGTAGGACTATACAAACCATGGATTCAAGTGTAGGAGCAAAGCAGAATTTCTTCAATATGGGAAAGGAGGAAGAACAGCCTCCTTGGTCTCATGCTCCATCCTATGGAAATGGAAGGACATATTTTTGGAGGTAGATATGTGAAGGGCAAACTGAAGTTAGAAATAGGCCCGACATGCAGCACATGAGATCATACAAAGTTCCATTAGTCTGTTTTGGAATTGCAGAAAGAGGAGCTCGTAAACCCTTGTGGAGAAGAAGTATCCTTACAGCTTTTGAAACTAGCCCAGAGTAGATCCACAGCCAAGTAATGCTGAAGTACCTTTACGTAATGTGAGGATCTGCATGGGCCCAAAGTCACTGAACAGAGCTTTGGAAGGTACTGCTGGCCATTACTGGCAATGGAGGTCATGTTTACTTAGTGCTACAAGGCAAAAGTGTTTACTGATGTCAAGACCGGGTTCTGATATGTTGAGCTATAGATGAGCTATCTAGCCACCCAACAGCCTTTGTCACTCATAAAAGTCAATCAAGCCCCACAACGTTCCACCATAAACTGATGTCAGCACAGAGAAACTTCCAGTCTAGAAGACTTTTGCTTCTGACATCTTCAATGTAGGAGGATGACATGCCAAGGAACAGGGAGTGTTGGATTATGAAACCACTCAGCCACAGCTGCTGGGCTGCATTGAATACGATCAAGTTGAAGCTGAGACCCAAGGTCCCTTGCAATGGACACCCATAAGAAACTAGCAGGCACTAAGGAAATGTTCAGATCAAAAGCTGTGAAGGAAATCCAGCATATTATAGGGCCAGCCAACTGTCTTCAGATTCTGTGTACTCCTAGCAGAAACCTGTACACCCTCAGGAAAGAACTCTGAGCCAGAAACAGAGGTATGATTTGCAAGGTCTGGCACATAATCTTCAGTTTGCACAAGACATTGCAGTAGCATTCAAACAATTCAGTGGCGAGAGGGAATTTTCAATAAGATGCTTTCCCTGGGTACCCACAAAGCAATGGGAGGGCAGAATTAGTGTAGAGACTGGAGGCAAAGGCAAAGTGAACAAGAAAGACCCCTTCCTATTAGGGTTGGACCACTGCAACACCCCATCCCAGAGACTAGATAGCAGTGTGAGGACTGATGGTATCAGGGGCTAAGTCTGCTCCCCAGGACAGCTAGTCTGCTACAACCTGGCAGAGGAATGACACACAGGACACAAAGCAGTTAATAAACCAGAAGCCAGGCAGGAAGCAACTACAGCGAAGGAGTTAAGGACCTGAGCTGACGCTGCACAGGTGAGCAGATCAGGGCCATCACTGGGAGAAAGTCCCAGTGGATTGGTATATCAGCCCTGCAGACTGGTACATCTGTGGATTGGTACATCAGCCTTTTGGGGATTAAATTTCAAACCAGGAAGAGCCATAACATTTACATATGCCAATTGGATTGGGTATTTTTTTCCAGTTGATGAGTTTTGCATTTGCTTTTCTGACTGGCTGTCTTGATGTCACTTTGCTATCTGTCCTTTATTTATTCCTTCAACGCATCTGTTTGCCATGTTGCGTTTGTGAGTTTTTTGGCTTTTCTCACATAAGGTATAACCAAAAGGTTAATGTGATACCTTCTCCCCCTTTTGACAGACTCCAGTTCTCCAGCTAGCACTACTGACACCCAGCCATTGCTTTCCTGGAACAGGGTACTTGGGATCTGGGAGCAATGCTTCTTCAAGTAAAGAGAGTTTCGTTTCAGAAAAATGCTGAAATATGGTCCAGATTCTGTCCAACTTACATAACTCCCCCGCCGAACATCTGGACAGCATCTGAGCTTTATAAAAAATGGGCCCACAGACAGAAAGGTTTTTGACCTTCTTTCACTGGAAAAATAAAAATACAGAGTGAAATGTCAAGGAGTATGAGAATCTGCAACTGAGAGATAGAAAGTGCACAGCATTTGTGAATTCACTCAAACAGAGATGCAACAGTCTGCCTCTGTTACCTGGACTGGAAGTTACAGAAGGACAGTAAGACAGTGGAACAAGGATAAATACAAGATACAAAATGCACATAAAAATTACAGCTGGTCAATATTTTTTGACCAAAACATTTCCCCATCACTATAGGCTGAGTGGATGGGCCAGAGGTCTTAGGAAATCCATAGTAGCAAAGATGAAAATTGCAGGGCCTTAGTTTGTCAAACTGAGACTGGATCTCTTGCTAAAAAGAGATTTATTTGTTCAAACATAAGTTATTGGCTTGATATAGTAACAAGCTGGTGGTGTTCTTAGGCCTTTGTTATATAGGAGAGCAGTCAGTAGAATCAGTTCTGTCTGTAAAAGTCTATGAAGAAAGTAAGTAAGAAGAAAGTCTCAGAGAAAGTAATGCCAGAGTTACAGCGAACATGTGGGAGTTACCAGATGAGAGAGTGCTTCCTCACAGGTACTGGCTTCACACTGTGGACATGAATCCTCCCTTGCCAATCCTGCCGCCATGGATCAGTCTCAGGCTGAGTGTTTAATTAACTGGGCTATTGCAGGCATTGCTCTGCATGAGGAAGGTTGGCTGAGGTAGAGGTCAGTAAAAATGAGGGACCAGAGGTGTTTATAATGAGGGGTTTCATGCTTTAAATGGCTTGAGTACCAGACTCTGACTAGTAATAACTGTCTTTTGAGTGCCTTGGACTAACACCTCCTGGCAATCCCACTGCATCTGTATGACCTTGTTGGAAGCCAGGGAGCAGGGAGGCAGGGTCCTTGTGCTGATACCATGGCTATGGAACCTGCAATACTGTAGAAACTGCTGCTCTTCCATTCATGGGGAAGAGATCAAGATGGCTCCAAGGGGGACAGATTCTGCTGAGGCCTTGGTAATGCACCAAACAGGTCTTCACAGGGATGCAAAC